CACTCTCGACAGAGCTACATACAACTGACCATGCACAAAGACCGGGCTGTGCAGATAAACACCTACCTTGTCAAATGACTGGCCCTGTGACTTGTGGATTGTCATCGCAAACGAAAGAAGAACCGGAAACTGTCTTCTCTTGAGTATGAATGGCAGCTGTGTTTCGCTGAATATCATCGCGATCTCGCCCGTTGTAGGAACATTGTACCTGTTCATGTCACGATGAATGTTCTTGTTGAACACCACATTTACCATCAACATATTTCTTTCACGCACTGCACTCCTATTAACCTCAGCAAGATTTTGCATACGGGTTGACTTATCTTATTGTCCTGTCAAGATTGTGTAGTATTGCTTTGTCACACTTCTCGTTTGTAGGGTTTCTCGATCTCAGATCTGTAGCATCGTTTGTATCAACCACGTACAACTGCGAGTATCTCCTGTTAGTGTTCTCAAGCGGGTTTATGTTGTATGTGTTGTGATAGACCTGACCATGCACCTTGAAGAAGTGCACCCCTCGTGTGAATTGCTCCACATGTGCACCCATTGACGCAAACGACTGGGCACTGTTGTACGATCGTATGTTGGCCTTGAAGTTTTTATGATCGCTGCTTGCTGTATCGGTGAACAGCGATCTGAGATACTTTGGATAGCTATCTCGTGGTGTGTAGGCCAGCTTGCCGAAGTGACAGCAGCTCTTGTACGCACGTCTACGGTGTGCCTCGTCTTTAAAGTGCATTGCCGAACAATTTGCACAAATCTGGTTGAGCTCACCAGCATAGTGCTCGGCTGTTTCACTTTGTACGTGATATCCGTTACTATTAGTACTCTCATCAGATCCATCGCCACCGGCAAGACGATCATCTGATGACTCATCATCGTGATGAGATTTGTCACTGCACTCACCCATGAAGGTGATGCTGTCCTTATGGTCGTGTAAACCACTTTTTGTATTACCATGGTTTTGGTTGTTTACCAAACCATTGGTACTTAGTTTATTTTTATTTTTTTCAAGCTTCAGCTTTTCTTGCTCCATTGCCAACTTGTAGTTGGAAATCAACTTCTGAAGATTACTGCATTTCTTTTTGATTCCTCGACTTCCTTTTTAATTGACTTTATTTTGTTGCCACTATTCATTTTATCGATCCAAGTCTCCATAATAAATTTTTGCAGCCTTGTAAACGGCTTAGCAAATGACTTAACAACAGCTTCCTTGATGGAAGAAGATGATTTATCAGACGAATTATAATTTTTAGAAGTGTGTGTAAACTTTTGGCTTCCACCTCGGCTACGCCACTTGGTGTGCCCG